CAGACCACATGTCAGCTTAGAGTAACGTAGATAACATTTGAACAAGAATGCAGTGAATTGAGGGCTTATTTGGGAATGATTTTAATCCAATTAAAATTGAAAATATAGTCGTTATTGGGTCCCACCTGTCTAATAAAAGTCAACAATAACGGCTAGTTTATCAATTTTAATCTGATTTTAATCCCTCCCAAATAAGCTCTAAATATTTTAATAACTTATTGCATATTAATAATATTTATTGAAAATACAAAATTAGAGTTTTAAAATTAACTAGACTTTTTTTTGGAAATGCACAATATTATTTAATCTTTCAATACATGTGAAACCTTATTATTTGATTATATCACTAATTGGTATAATATGGAATCAAAGACCTGGTGGCTATTTCATAGATCACATGCACCTTTGCTACAAAACATTCCTTTTGAAACTTCTTGTGCAACATTGTTCTTAATTTTGAGCCGAAAGAAATTGAAGTAGTACTCTTTTGTACATTCTACGTGAAGGAATAAAATAATTTCACAACGGGCTGAAGAATTTATTTTCATTCATAGCAATTTGTGTCTTTTATCAAGAAAATTAGATCCAAAATGTGGGACATTGCCGGAGACTCATTTGATACTCTTGAAAATATTAGGCTGCTTGAGATTGCTAATCTACCAGCAGATAAGTCAGAATTGGACAATGTTATTTTTAATGATAATGCAAAAAGTGATTTGATGATGTTGAAGAAAATGAAGTTTCGACAATTAAATGATTAAGATAAAATACTTTAATATCTTGTTTTATTTTTATTATCATGCTTCTGTATTAATTTTTTTAAGTTAATGAAATTATGTTAAATTTTATAACACGTATCGGCGTATCTGTATCGTATCTATGACTAATGAGCTTTCTTGCCTTGCAGCTGATAGGCACTCCATCTGAGGCTGAGTTGGAGTTTTTGAATGAAAATGCAAAAAGATACATCCGGAATCTTCCTCCGCAACCCCGACAAAGATTCACTGAAAAGTTTCCGCAAGTGCACCCTCTTGCTATTGATCTTATTGAGAAGATGTTAACATTTGATCCTAGAAAAAGAATTGCAGGTGAGGAACTTCTCTTCTATGCTGTTTATTTTGGCATGTGTGATTTTGCAACGTAGTTTTTTTTTACTAACCAAACTTACTTTTCAAGAAAGTAAGTCAATTGAATGATTATTCGAAAAAACCGATTGTTTATTAGTTGCTTAAATTATAAATTGGTAGAAATGAGTAGTGGATAAGTGGGGTAGTGGGTCCAATTAAAATTTGACCAGCTTAAATTTTAAGTTAAGGAAATCCAAGTATGCACTAAATAGAACAGTGATTTTGAGGTACATGCAGACATTTCTTACAAATTGACCATATCTGCATCCAGTTACTTTCAAAGGTGAACATGTATCTGATATATTTTTATAGTGGTAAATACTAAATCTGTTGTATATCAGGTTGAGGTGCCAACCAGTTATGTCATAATGTAATATTCTTAAAGTTTATTTTCCGAGTCACTTGTCTGCGAACCCACGACACTTAATGGCTAGAATTGAATTTCTTTTCCTAGAATTTTCATATGCTTGTAAGAGAATTCCATCTCATTATTTAAAAACTGTATCAAATTAGAAAGATGAGTTCAATTCTAATGGAATATAAAGGCTCGTGCTATGACTTGTTGATGTCCAATCTTGCACGATAGTGCCATAGTCACGTTCTTGTAAATGGAAGCTGAAATCTGCAAAATCCAGGCTCAGTAAACCTCATACCAGCTCTGATTTGGCACCAGAGTCTTCGGCCACTGCATCCCACCTCAGTCTGATGGTGGACAAGACTAATTGCAGAATTTCAGCTATCACTCATATGAAGTAGGCTAGGAGGCTGCCACATGATATAACCTCAATAACTTTCAGTTTTATAGCTGCTCTCTTGATTTCAGGAACAATCAGGGCATGCCTTTTGCCATGACCCGGGTTCATGGTATTGATTATCATATTATTCAACAGCACCATGTTATTTTTAAGGAACTTTTGTTTCCAAGCATGTTTGAATAATTTATTTCTTTTAGTTCTTTTAAGTAAGAAAAGAAATTTGTTATAAAGTAGCTATTAACTTACTAACGTACTTATCTTAAAACAAATGTACTTACTTGTATTCAAACTTTATGTTCGTAATACCATTCTATCATGGAGGTTACATTTCCTTGATCAATTTTGATAATCGTGTAAATCTTTGCTGGTTTTCAGTTGAAGATGCACTGGCACATCCGTACCTAAACTCGCTTCATGACATCAGTGATGAGCCTATTTGCCAGACTCCGTTCAGCTTTGATTTCGAGCAGCGCGCTTTAACCGAAGAACAGATGAAGGAGCTGATATACTGGGAATCTCTTGCATTCAATCCCGAATATCGGCAAGTATGAGGAATCATTTGATTTTCCACTGTTGTATTGATTTCATGTACATATATGGTCCATTCGAAACCGGAATGACTTCGTTTTGGAATTATTTGACTACAGCCATAAACTGAGCATGGTTAATTTGAAATCTTGTGAATTATTGCCTGCAGCGTTAGGCTTTGGAATTTAAGGGTAGATTATGGTGTTTGGGTTTGAATGTTTCTATATATTGAAGCATTGTTCTGATAAATGACCTCAAAATTTGTATTCATTCATTTCTTGAATTACTTGGTGCCAAAACATTCAATTGTATGCAGACCTTTGTAAACTGGGTTTAAATGACCTGCTTGCTTTCGAGGCAGGGCTGGTCCTTTGATTTTTGGGGGCCTGAGGCGAACTCCCAAAGTTGGGCCCCCGAAAATAACATAAATGCAACATATTGCTAACTTAACATTGAACAGTAGAACAACAAACAAATAAAAGAACAAAAGATATATTATAAAGTAACATAACCGACAAGAGTTCAAACAATCAATTAAATAATATTCGTCTCGCTGTTTTAGAGGCAAAAACATTAATCAAATCTGAATAATTTAATTGTTGAACCATATCTCTCTATTGATAACATAGTCAATCC